TTTTTTTTTTTACTCTTTGTGCCTTTTTAATAAATGTATGAGACATGCAGAGTTAAGTTAAAGGGCACCTGTAGTTTCATTAGCGCAAGCCTTGCTATTAGTCCTATCAACAGTACACGTGGATGTGGTACATGTATTCCCTAGTGCTCTGGAGCAGCCTTTGGGCTGCAGAGGAAGATGAGGGGCAGGGTCAGAAAGGAGGAGGAAACATCTAATCTAATCAAAGGAATTTTACTTGGTTTCCCTGTAAAAAAGAGTATTTCTGTGAAAAGCCTCTGAACTGCCAGGAATATAGGTGGTTGGTCCTTTAACATGATTATCACGTTATTCAACTTTCTTTATTTTGCTCTAGTTTATGTAGTTTATGTACAAACATAATTGTAGCTTTAAAAAAGCAAAAACAATGAAATAAACATACGTATGTACTTATTTTTAGTAGCCTAAGAGTTGGGGGTTGGTAGGTTGAATAATATATTTTAGACTAATTCTTGGTTAGCTGGTAGACCAGTGGTCACAAAACAAGTTTAGATCATCTTAGAATAGAAAATACTATGTTATAAATGAAAGACGCTTTCTGAACACTGGTCAAAGAACTAAAAAAAACATACTTTGATAGCATCTTTGGCATCTACCACAGCAAGGTCTCGAAGGGCCCAAGCAATCTGCCTTTTGTAGAAATCTCCCTTATCAGACTTCTTAACTTTGACCACCTTCACCTGCACGGGGCGTTCAGTTGTCACTGTTGAGTAAAACACACATTTTCGTTAGAAATATTATTTCTCTCAGTCATTTCTTCATTCACTCTTTGCAAAGACAGCTTTCGGGTGCCTAGTATGTGATATGGAAAAAGGTGTTTAACACTTTACAACAAACTGCTATGATTGAGGAATGCACAGAATCCTAATAAATGTGTATGATCAGCCTACCGGGTCAGAGGCAGATTCCTTGAGAAATAAATCTTCAGACCAGTTTTAGAGGAAGAATGAGGTAAAATCGAAAGAACTGACATATGTAAAGTCAGAGAGGCCTGGCAGAGCATAATACCATTTCAAAGAACAACAATAAATAGTTCAATATAGACAGTATATACAATAAGGTAGACGGAAATGAAGTTACTGAAAAAGATGGGAGGTCGGATCATAAAGGGCCGTTAGCTGAACTTTTGTGTGTGTGTGGGGGGGGTTATTAAAGGATCTTAATTAAGGAAATCACATCTTCTAATTACCAATTTCTAAAAATTAATCTGGCAGCAGAATGGAGAGTGGACTAGAGTGAATGTCAATACATTTGAAAAGTAAGTGGTTTTCCCTAAAAAACCCTAAAAATTCCCTAAAAAAATGTAACTTGCCAAAATTGACTCAAGAATAGAAAATACAGAAAGTTCTGTAACTATTAAAGAAATTACACTGGTAAGTAAAAAATCTCCCCTCACCGCCCACCCCAAAAAAACTGGTCCAACACAGTTTTGCTGGTATCTTTTGCCAAGCTTTCAAGGAATGAATCATTCCAAACACACACAATTAATTCCAGTATATAGAAAACGAGGGAATGCTCTCCAATTTATTTTTGTAACTTTGATTATAAAGCCAAAGATAGTATAAAAGAGAAAATTACAGGACCATGTAACTAATGAACATGGACGCAAAATCTTAAAACAAATATAGCGTAAATCAAGGGTATATACAAAGAATAATACTTCATTTCATCAAATCTAAGATGTACTTTTCTGCTCACATTTAAAAATCTCTGAAATCAGGATAAATCTTAATCAGACAATATTATAGCATTTTTAGTAGTACCTAAAATTATAATACATGGTATAATCAATGGAATATTTTATTCTAAGAAGTCAATTTATCATTTGAAAAACCAAGTACAATTATTAACCACACTAACAAAGGAGAAAATTATATAATAATCTCAATGATATAAAAAAACACTTGATAAAATTCAACATCTATTCACGATTAAGAAAAAAAGAAGAAAGAAAAAAAGCATAAGAAGCCAGGAACAGAAAGGAACTTCCTTAACATTGTAAAGGATAGCTCAAAAAAACCTATGGCAAATATCATACTTAAAGGTGAAATCATTCCCTTTGAGATCAAAGATGTATTGATGAT